CCTGGGAACCCAAGTCACAGATTCTTAGCCAAGCAGACAGCCCACCTGGTTCTCCCTCGAGCAGCCGGCATGGAGGGACTGCAGCCTGACTCCTGGCCCAGGGCCACACCAGAGCTCTCAGCCAGAGACGGCAGCCAAAACTGACCCCACCAAAAGGAGCTGACGGAAAGTGGCCAGAGGGCCTGTGAGGGCTGGGACCCCAGGGCAGCCCGGCCTCACCCTGAGTTCCCTCTCTTGCTAACCCTGGGTGCCAAGCACCCGTGGCAGAGAGGACCCTGTCCCAGAGCAATGGAAGCGCTCCTTCCTGCAGGCTGGCCAGGTCCACAGGTGAGGGGGCCAGAAACTGGTTCTGCAGGACAGATCAGGAGAAACGGACAGGACAGCACGTGGGTCCCTGGGCCTCCGCACAGTGCTGGGGGGCCGAGGCGTCATGATCATGAGGACTGGGATGGGGGGCCCGAGCAGGGTGCTCCCTGTCACCTCAGAAGCGTGATTGCGGAGCCAGAGCACGTTGGAAGTCCCGTGGGCGGAATGGGCAAAGCCCTCTGACCTGAGACTGACAGTCAGAAATGCTCCTTAGAGTCAAGGGTGTCAGGACTTGTCTCACGAACTTTGGACACATTGTCAGGAGAGGCCGGTCTCTGGGGAAGGACATTGTGCATGGGGAAGTGGAGGGGGGAGGGCGGGGAGGGGGGAGGACAGCCAGGCCCTGGAGGAGATAGACGGACACTATGGCTGTGACCAGGGATGCAGGGAGAGGGACACTGGGACACTGGTGACACAGGGCCGGGCCGTGCTCCCTTGTGCATGACGGTCACTGGGGGTCAGAGCCCCCTGGACAGCACCACTCTGTCACTTCCCCCTGCCGCTCCGTTGCAGCCTCCTTTTGGTGAGCCATGGGGAGAGGAGTTCTCAGAGCTGTTTGCTTGGCAGTTCTCCAAGGTGCCCCCACCCCCACCCCCGGGGGCTGTTTCTACACCGGGACTAAGGACATCGCTTTACCTTGTGTTGTGATTGTTCAGTAACAATGAAGACGCCATCTGTGGACGGACTTAGTCCCGCGCGCGCGCGCCAGGGAGAGAGCGAGCTTCCTCGCTTTCTCTGCACCAGTGGTTTGCGTTTCCTTGGAAAGGATTTCTAAAGAATGGATTTTTAAGTTCTCTTCCAGCTGAGGAAACACCGCCCACCTCTGAATGACCCACGCCATTTTGTCTGCATCCCACCGTCCAGAGAGGCTCTCACGCACCACAGCCTTGATGTCTTATCAAGATGTTTCTCGGACACACGGGAGTAAAGTGCCTGCCTTTTGTGGGCACAGACCGCCCCGTGGAAGGAACCGGGGGTGGGGGATGGGGGGACGCTGAGACTTGGTGGCTTCTGTGCTTGGTGCACAGAATGAAGGAGTTAGTTCCTGGGGTCTGGCAGGTGTCCTGCCTGCAAATGGGAACACCGGGACATCATTTCACCTGGGAGAGGGGTTGCGGTGGTAGGGGGAGGGGGGCCATGACAAGTTGGTGTTGTCGGGCACCATCAAACCAGTTCCAATTTCTAGGGACCCTGTGCAGAAGGCATGCAGCCCGGCCTGCCGTGCTCACACGCGTCCCTCTGCCCGAGCCCATGGTCTCAGTCACGGTGTCCGTCCATCTCCTCCAGGGCCTTCCTGTTTTTCGCCACCCTCCACTTCCCCAAGCACGACGTCCTTCCCCAGGGACTGGCCTCTCCTGACGATGCATTCCAAGTACGTGAGGCGCAGTCTTGCTGTGCCGGCTCCGAAGCAGCGTTCTGCCTGCACTTCTTCAAGACAGGTCTGTCTGTCTTCTTGGTGGCCCACGGCACTCGGGATCCCTGGCCAGACCTTGACTCGGCCTTCCTTCTCCAGTGCCCCAACCTGCCTGGCACAAGGGCAGCATGGCCTTGGCAGGCCCCTCGGCCCTCATAGCTACAGTCTTGCTTCCAGCTCTTTGAAAGGGGCCTGTGCATTACCTGCAGGCTCGTGTTTGTTGGCTGTACAGCGCCCCGAGCTTTCGAAACACCTGACTCCTTACTGTACCTAGAGTTCCAGCAGCCGTTCTGCGGGAGAGGGCTGAGGCCGCCTGCCTCATCGTCGGAAACCCTACTATGCGTCAGAATGGAGAGTGTAGCCGTGGACTTGACGTTGGGTTTTCTCAGGAAAAGGCATTTCTTTCGCCCTGTGCTGGCAGGCAGGGCCCAGAAGGTGGTCTGGTGCTGGCTCCACTCTGCGTCCCCGGTGAACGAGAGGTGTCCCAGGGGCAGAGACCACCCCTGTAGAAGCCAGCAAGCCGGGTCTCCTGTCCCTACATGCTTTCAGCGCCTGTAGCACATGAGCATGGGAGGGCGCCCACAGCAGCCCAGGTGGGGAGCCCGTGCCTGTGCATGTGTGGAACCCTGTCTGAGGGCCCAGTGTGCCAGGACCTGTGTGCTGGTGTGTGTGTACTTGAGTGTGTGTGACTATGGGTACTGGGGTGTGTGCTGGGCTGTGTGCTGGTGTGGGTACTGGTGGTAGGTGTGGGGCTGTGTCCTTGTTTTACAGAAGCTGAGGTTAGCTGTGGTCAAGTTTATGATGAAGTGTGGTGGTGACAGATCATCTGCGTGAGCAGCAGGACCATGGTTTGGTTTTCTGGAGCGTATTATAGTGATAATCAATCGTGGGGCAGCATGAAGCAAGCACAGTGGGCAGGTCCCACCTCCTTCAAACTGTCCTCCAGGGTCACACGGCCCCAGCCCAGGAGCAGGGAGACGGAGCCCGTCCTCCGCTCATCTCCAGTAGCCCCTGCAGCTGATGGGCACCGATCACTGTGACCTGAGCACCGGGCGGGGCCGGTGCATAGAGAGTCACCTCCTGTGCTGCAGTGGAAGCCTGCTGGCTCTCATGCCTGGGGACTTGTTCTCTCACCCAAATGGCTCCCCCTGCTCGGTCACCAACCAGGAAGTTCCTCTGAGTGTCAGGGCCACGGCAGGGTACGTGACCAGACACAGCCAACATTCGGCCCCTGGTGGGGGGCCTGTTGGTCTGCTTAGCCCGGCCCTTCAGCCTCCCCGTGGTCTCATCTCAGGGACCAGGACCACACGACTGGTCACCTCACAGATAGGATGTCACCAGGGCTGACAGCTCATGGGCTGTGGACGTCAGGTCGGCTGTGCCCCGCCCTCCTCTGTCTCGTGCTACAGAAACTGAAGCAAGACTTGGGGGAGCTCCGCTCCACATCTCTGGCGATGCTGAAGGACCTGCAGGCTCAGGCCCAGGACTGGGCTTCCGAGGCGGTGACCGCTGCCCGCAGCTCGCAGCTCTGCAGCGAGGCCCTGCAGGGTAAGGGGCAGGCCACTCCTAGGAGCAAGCCCTGTGTTCCAGAGGCCACATTAGGAACTCAGCTTGGGTCTGGCACAGAGGGCGGCAAGATGGCCCGGGATGCATGTGTCTGTCCAGCCGTGGCTGCCCCCACCCTTCCCCCACTGCCCTCCGCCCGCACCCATGTCTATATGCCAGGCTCTCTTCTCTGGTTTGGGACCTGAGCCTCACCCCCGCCCCCTTGCCCTGGCTAGCCTTGGCCAGCTAGACTGGGCGGCTCTGGGAGGAAGGGGATGGCTGCCCTCTGTCTCTCTGTGGGTCTCTGAGAGCCCGAGACTGGGGCGGGGCGTGCTCTGTGTGAAAGGCAGCTTTGTACAACTTTAAAACCTCCCCTCCTGACCCCCGAGCGGATGCGCCTGGTTCTTTCTGCCTCTGTGGACTGTCGGCGCGGGCGGAAGTCGAGCAAGGCGTCCACTGACTGTGTTCCCAGGCCCTTCCAGCATGGGTGTTAGTGCACCAACTGCAGCCCGAGTCTCGAGTCTCGGGACAGGTCCTCCTCGGCCGCCCTGGGCGTCTGTTGTGCGCGCTTGCGTCTGCGCTCGCGTGCGCGCCTACCCACGCACGTGGTTTCACAGGAAAAGAACAGCCAGGGTGCTTCATGACTCTGCCCGTGTGTCGTTCGAGGAGTGCTGCGTCCTAGAGCCACGGGGTGGGGGTGGGGTGGGGGTGGGAATGGGGACGGACCAGGTGTCCCTTCCCCCAGAAAATGGAGCCTAGAAAGCTCCCTGACAAGAACACCAGCTCTGTCCAGCCCTGCCCGGCGTGCTGATGACTCTCTTGTCAAATCCTACCCTCACCCCCACCCCCACCCAGGATTCTGCTGATGCGGACAAGGTGACCTAGTGCTCGGGCCCGGCCCCGGGTCTCTATGGGCGCTCTGACGTGGCCCACTTGGGGGATCAGGCTCCTCCTCCACAACCCTGGGGGCCACGGCGGCAGGGGGCTGGGTGCGAGGGAGTGTGGGCGTTCATTTCTCTGCGCACGCGCTCTTGCAGCCTGCGAGTCCCGCGCCGCTCTTCTGGAACAGTCCTTGCAGGAGGTGAGCGAGCGCTACGACCGCGAGAAGCAGGCGAGAAAAGTGCTTCACAACACCCTGGTGGTGAGTCGGTCATGCGGCGGGGGCTGGGGCGGGGGCCCAGGGGCGCCGAGAGCCGTGGCAGGGTGCTGAGGACGTCTGGTGGGTGGCATCCCCAGCATGTGGGGTCAGGTGCGGGGAGCTCTGCTTAGGGTGTCCAGGGCCCCTGGAGCCTGTCACCATCCTGTGGGCAGCTGGTACTGGCCAAGCTGAACCCCTGGGGACTCAGGGGAGCCAGCAGGCACACACGCGGAGCAGGCTGGCCAGGGTTGGGCATGCAGTGGAGACAGAGAGGCCCTGGGCATGGCGGTGGTGGGAACAGTGGTAGCGGTGAAGGTGGCATTGATGGAGCTGCTGGTGATGGTGGAGGAGGTGCTGGTGATGGTGACAGTCATGGTGGTGGTGGTAGCAGTGATGTGGTGGACATACTGGTGTTGGTAATGGTGGTGATTATGGTAGTGATGGTGACTGGTGCTGATGGTGGTCAAGATTGTGGTCATGAAGGTATTGGTGGTGGTGACAGTGATGGCAAAGATAGTAATGGTGATGGTGGTGGCCATGTTGGTGGTGGAGGTGTTGGTGATGATGATGAAGGTGATAGTAGTGATGGTGATGGTGGTGATGATGATGGTGGTGATGAGATGGTGATGGTGGAGATGATGGTGATGGTGGTGTTGGTGATGGTGGTGTTGGTGATGATGATGGTGGTGATGGAGAAGATGGTGGTGATGGTGGTGATGGTGGTGATGGAGAAGATGGTGGTGGTGG